AATAATAATTCTAGCTGCTGCATTCTGAATTCGCTGTAAGGTGTTGAAAGAGTGGTGGGTGCTCCATGACAATAGGGTATTGCAGTTGTCTAACCTGCTGTATACAAGACCATGTATTAATTTCTCTGTGTCTTGAACGGAGAGAAGCTGCCTTAGTTTTGCAATATTTAGGAAGCATGTTTTCGATTCTGTTTTCATATGAGAGTTAAATGAGAGCCTTGTGTCTAATTTGATGCCTAAGTTACATGCTGAGTCTCTAAGGCAAATTTTTAAATCCTCTGCGTTAAGTGCTGAAGTTATAGTAGTCTTATCAGTATCGTTGCCTCCACACAACAGAACCTCAGTTTTATCAGAGTTGAGTAACTAAACATTTTCACACATCCAAGTCTCTACTTCATTAATGCAATTAACCGAATTGATAATAGAAGAGTTGTCGTTAGGTGTGTTGTGCCAAACAAAGGGCATCCACCAAGAGTTTGTGTGTTGAAAGTTGTCTTTATTTCAGTTAATGCAGTTTGTTAATGCAGTTTCAATGCTGTGGCCTGGGCAGAAACCAAACTGGAATTTCTCAAGTATATTATTTGAGTCCAGATACAATTGAAGTTGGGCCACAACTATTTTCTCAAGAATTTTAGATAGAAATGGGATGTTTGAGACAGGCCTGTAGTTGTTAAGAACTTGTGGATTTATGAATTGACTTCATTGCACTGCTCTCCTCCCCACTAATAGCTGATGTGTGGTGAGCGTTCTGGCGCACTATGGCTATGGAGTGGAGTGTCCAGAAAAGCGCTATATAAGTGTAAGCTATTGTTATTGTAATTATTATTATTATTATTATTATTTCATATGCATATGGAAGTCTTGTTTTTGGACACAAGACTTAATACAACTTTTACAGTGCTCTTTTATATAGTGAAACAAACAATACAAGGTACATTCCCACATGACTCGCTGCTTGCATTGTGGCTATATTTGGTTATTCCAGAAAGTTTTGATACTACAAGAATATAATCTTGACATAAGACACATTAAAGGAAAAGACAATTTAATTGCTGACTGTCTCTCTAGAATATGATTTGTTCATGGTTTCAGATGGTATACTTCCTATGATATGACATTTTCATGTCTATTTTTTTTTTGTTCATGAATGTCATATCATTGTTTTTGTTAAAATGAACGTTTTCTTGACAAAAAATTTTTTTCAACAGGTGGAGTGTTATGAATAATTACTTTTGAAAATGTTTTTGATTTACTACAATATTCAGCATTTGTAAATAACATTTTATGTAAATAATTAGTGTTATTTTGAATTTCCTTGACCAGAATTTACTAGAATGATATTCCAGCAAAACCCCAAGAAGGCATTAGGACCCACACAATCTGCAAGGAAAGCACCCCATACTGGTTCCAATAACACCTCTTCCAGCAGCTCCCTTAGTTTTTCCTAGGAGGTCTCCTATCCAAGTACTGGCCCGACTCACACCTGATTAGCTTCAGTGGGTTGCTAGTTGCAGAGTCATATGGCTGCTGACAGATGAAAGATGAAAGTGGTGCTTAGCTTGTGCTCCTTTCATGTAGCTCCTTTCACATGTTTTGTGACTTAGTGCTGCATTGTCTTCTCGCAGTAGGCAGGTGGCAAGTTACAGTACATGACACATTCATTCAAATGACTACTCAAAAGTTTTATCTGGTCTTTTAAATACAAAGATTTTAAAGTCATTATACCTAATATAATTTTAACATATAAACCTATAGTATAATTAAAATGATATTTTATTGGCATTTTTATAAATGTTATATATCACAGCATGTTTAATATTCAGTTTACATTCACAATCTGGTAAGCTCATAGAGGCAGTGGGGACGTATCAGATATTAAACTGAGGAAGAGAGATTGTAACTTCAGTCCCAACCCCCAACAACCCCTGAAAAACCGAGAAAGCAATTTTGAGTAATTAACTATCCAGTCATTGCAGAGGGTGCAGCATCGCAGAGATGAGCATATTTGCAAGATAATGCAAGACTATGAACTGCAGCAGCCAGGAGTCCTGTTACCAAAGGGGAAAAAAACTATATAAAGCCATAACTGTAACAAATTATTTCACATTTTATTCTCTTGTAACAATCATGATGTTTCCAAAAAAATCAAGCTTCTTAATTTAGGGATTCACTTCAACACATAAAGATTTTCTTACATTACTTTAAAAAATATCAAATAAAGCCATCATAATTACAGCATTCAAAATATAATAATTTAGTAACATCACAGAGTGACACCATATCCTGAAAAATAAGGTGCTATATCTCAGGAATTAAATGTGGTGGATGTCATTGTTTGTGCTATTTATAGTGCAGGGAAAAACTTCATGAGTAGGGGGTGTGACTTTACATAGTTATCTTTGAGTTCAGTTCCTTGGGTTCTATCTGTGTGGAGTTTGTATTCTTTTCCTTGTTATCATGGCTTTCCTACCATAGTCCAAAAAAACATTCCATAACTTACTGGAATGTAAAATATGGAATGTTTTAGTTTTTGTTGTTGTCCTGTCCAGGATGGATTCTGTACTTTTTGTCCTGTTATAATACTGGCTTGCACCCATTGCTTGCTTGAGACTCTATGCCGGATAAAGCAGTTAGAAAAAGGATGGACTAGTGAATTTATAATTGAAAAAATGTTCCAATTTAAATGGAATATGGAAGATGTTGTCTTCAAAAACTGTTTACTTAAAAATATTTTCAGTGTAACCTGGTATGTATGCCACATTCTGGCGCATTAGCTGTTGTGCATTCTGAATTGCTGGATCTGTATATAGTAATTTGTAGTGTGAGATTCCTGATTTAGTTATTGATTTCTAACACAACCTAGATTTGTTACAATATTAACATTGTGGTGGTGTAGCGATTAGCTTGATTAGGGCTGGGGCCCCAAATTCAGTTCTGGACTTGGGATGCTATCTGTGTAGAGTTTGCATGTTCTCCCCGTGTTTACATGGATTTCCTCTAGGCGCTTCAGTTTCTTTTCACAAACCAAAGACATACTGGTTTCTAGGAAATTGTGCACTGGTGTGCATATCTGTGTTTATATCTGGCATCCTGTCAAGGGTTTATCCTCACTAGCAACTGTTGCCCCTGCTCCAAGGTGTATCCAAATTGATAAACCAAATTGATTAATATAACACAAAAGAACAATTATGACTTTATAATAGTGTAATTTGCATGCAGTACTAACATACAGAAGACATGATGGCTGGATGGATTAATACCCTCATCATTTCTTTTTTTAAATGATATAATGTTAGCATGCCCAAAGGGGTTGGGCAACCAGTTGACCTTGGACCCCTAGAGGTTTTTTCTCTCCTTACTAAGGAGATTTTGGTTCCTCTCCTCCATTGTCTTCTGGTCTTCTGTTCTGTATTGACAAAATGTATCGTCAATTGTACTGTTAAGCGCCTTGGGGCAACATTGTTGTGAAAGGTGCTATATAAAAATAAACTGAATTGAATTGAATAATTTGTGACAGTGGAGCCCTCAGCCATGTGTATTTCTGCTTGGGTTTGACCTAGATTAGTTTTTTTGCAAAGAATGGATACTTGATTTCATTCTAAAATTTTAGAATTTGTTAGGACACATTATGAAGATTTCTTAAAACTAAACTAGCTCATGATACACACCACTGGGTTGGGTTAATGTTTTAGAGTGGATTTCTGAGTTTTAAATGTTAATATCAAAATAAACCAAAGTCATCATTATTTAATAATCCTTTTTTCATAATCCTTACAACATTTTCTGGGTATATTATTATTAATGGAACATACTGCCACATCAGAAAAATACCCAGTAATTTTATGAAAAACCACAGCATTTAAAATGTGTGCATCATATAATTACATTTTATGAAGTGTACAAAACAGTACTTGGAAAGCTTTAACTACAGTTTGCTACTCACTAATACCTACCTAGAAAATACAGCGGCAATCCTTACTCCTTATCATATGTTCACCCTACATTTAGTTATTTATATTGTTACAGCTTTAGATTACTGAGAAGAGTCGTTAGGATTTTATCTAAAGTTTGTGACACATGGCAGAGGAAACAGTTGTAGCATCAAAGTTGAGAGGATGTTTGTTGAGGTCGGGGGCGGGGGGGTCCCTTCAGCAAAAAACAATTGTAAAGTTTACCTTGATATAGCAAGGTAAATTGCGGGTTAATGATTATCAACGAGAAGTACAGAAAAACACAATATAAGATCACATTGAGAACAAGATCCCAAAAAAAGAAGAGAAGAGAGAAGAGAGACAAGAGTCTGGAGGATTCAGAGCTTGAAGCTTGTTCCAGGTGAGAGTCCCTAGTTCATGATCATCCAAACAAATCCTAACAGGAGGTAAGTATTTAAACCTTGTTAGAGGTAGCCTGCTATTCTGTTTTTATAGGGGAACTTGGGTTTTCTGGGGTATAAGATTCCTCACTTAGAAACATCCTTCCTGCTTGTGGATACACATATTTAGAATAGGGAAATAGGCTCCCATTTATATTGTGGCATCCATGGTGCACAGAGAGAGAGATTTAACTGGAAGTTGCATTGTATTTATTTAGAGAACAGCTAATCTCTTATGTGGCCCCTGTAGGCATTAAGAGTTTAATGCATAGTAGCAGTCTGGGATTTTTCTGGGTGACCTATACTTACCGATATTTACAGTGTAAATTGTACATAGAGTAACTGCGGTGTTGTTTAGTTTGTATCTTGTCATTGTAACAAATATTTATCTCAACAAGTGTGCCTGGATTATTACTCCTCTCAACAAAGCTATGCTAGGGAATAAAGAATTCATGTGCCTTTAATTATACCAACCGCTCAGGTATATTCTAGAGAAATCACTTACAAGTTGGGGGTTATGAATAATTATTTTACATATTGACAAAACCGCTCAGTGAAATTTGGATTTTCACCTTTTTAGTAACCTCCATTTGTAACAATATTGTTATTTTATTAGTTAGATTATTATTTATAATTCTTCACAGCTTTCTGTCTTTGCTGATTCCTGATCACTGCTGAATATAAGATAGCAGGTCTCCAGATGATCTGCTTCCATTTTGTGTTCAAAATGTGGCTGCAAGTCACTTGGAGTCAGGCCATTTTGGAAATGCGAGTTGATCTCTTCAAAAAGTGTCTGATCGATGCTTTCTGTAAATACAGTTAGATTAACAGTCATATATATATCATGTGTTTTAATGAAATTCAATATTAGTCACTATTATATAAAATTATCGGATGTTTTTTGTCATGTGCAGTATATTGCACTCAAAACAGAGAGTGTGAAATCTTTCAGGTTCAATTTCTTAGCAAATGAAAGCAATCTTTTGAAAACTGACATAGAGGAATTAAAGATAACTAGTTATACCAGTCATTGAACCACCAGAGAGTAAGCCAGCAGCTATATCACACTTTAAACATACAGCTAGCAACCTACAGCTAGCAAACCACTGAAGCTTAGTAGGTGTGAGCCTGGTCAGTACCTGGACATTTCACACTGCAGAACAGAACACAGTCAAACGTGATCCATCCATCCATTTTCTTGGATAATTGTTTTATCCAATAAAGGTTCATATTAGCATTGTGATCTTTACACTCACATGCTCATTACAACTTGCTCTGTACAGGAGCCGGAAGAAGAGGGGTTAACATGCTGTGACCACATTCATTAAAACTAAAAGCATTTTGGAGTTCTTTAACTACATTAAGCAAATTTTGTAGAAAAGATAAGAAAACTGAACTAGAAACTATAGATTGTGTAAGTAAGAGATTTGGAAATGCGAACAGTAAAACATATTACTCAATGAGAAAACACCTTACTAACCTAAAATAAGATGCTGTATTGAAATGAGACTCTAGCCTCATTGTTCCAACTTTGGGTTTAACTGCTGTCAATTTGTGTGTCTAGAAAATTAATTATTTAAGTCTTGTTGACATGTTTTATGTAAAAATACATTTCAGTCTCCAAAGTCACACAGAATATGAAATTTGAGACTTTTTTGATGAAATGTCATTCACATAAATTATTTTTAGTGATGATTTCATGTTTAACGAACTTGAAAACAAAAAAGGCCACATGTACTAACACTTTATTCTTTACCTGATCTTGTGTAAAATGTTTGATGGATTAGTGGCTGCATAATTGTAAAAACTTTCCTATTCAAACGTAACACAAAGACATTCTCTTAAAATGTTGCTTAAAAGCATTGGGCCCAGATACATTTTCCTCCCTACATACCATGGACATTAGTCCATTAAGCAGTAGTGAGAAAGCTTTTTAGCGTTTGTCAAAAAAGACCAAACTTATGTGAATGAGCAGAAAGAGCATTTTGAGGTGTGTTCAGGCTCAAGTCTTCTGCCATTGTTTTTACTGATCACAATCCTTTGACTTTTCTTCAGGTTGTGTATAACCATAATAAACTACTGATTCACTGGTCACTTATGTTACAGAGTTACTCCTTGGAAATTTGAAACAAGAAGGCCACAGAGACTTATGTAGCTGATGCACTATCATGTGCTTACAGATGCAGCCATTCAAAATGAGCGAGGGATGCTGCGACAATACACAGTGCATAGTCAACAAGGTACTGCAGGTTTTTTCCAATGGGGTGGAATACTTTGTAAAACCGCATTTGGGCTGTCACCAGAAAACTCCTGGTTTCAATACCTGGTCAATGCTGAGTGACAATTTTTCCAGTTACAGAATTTGTTTACCGTAAGACATTTAATAATTTTAAACTGTGTATTACAGCATGTTAAACATTAAACTGATTAAAAAGTAGGTATATTTTATAAACACAAGATTGCTCAATTGGACAAAGGTACACAACAGTAATCCACCTTCTTCATAAATATTTTATGCATCAAAATCTTTAACTTGGTAACTTATACTGGGTTATGGTTATAACTTGTTTTGCTTGTTCGAACATTATAAAGTTTATATACTGTACTTCATAAAAAGTTATAACATTTTAACCTTTGCTAAGAATACATAGTAAGAATACCACTTGCTGTGACTAAAAAAAAGTTGTACTGATTTAATACCATTTGATAGTCATATTAATATGGAATAGTGTTACTAAGCAGCTAAAATATCATAAGTGGATGTTTTGGAAACATTTTGACATTCCTTTTTTTTTAAAAAAAAACTTTTATTGTCCTTATTGTGGTAAAGGACTGTAATGAAGCATGCTCCACCCAGGCGGTTTAAAGCCCGATCAGAGAATTTTGGTTTTGTCTTACCTATCTGAAAACAAAAGTAGCCCACTATTATACAGATGCAGCCATTCAAATTGAGCGAGGTATGCTGCGGTACAACGTGGAGGGTATGTTGCATCTTAATTCGTCATAATGCGTCATACCTCGTCATACCACATTATATCGCATGCAAATTAGATTATGTTAATTGTATCCAGAATCACCTTGTAAAACCGCCAGCTGGAGTTAATAAAGCTTAACCTCTCATGCATTTGAGCTGTCACCAGAAAACACCCTATTTTGAATCCTGATCACTGCTGAGGGACAATCTTTATCCAATTAAGAATTTAAGTTGTATACTCTTTAGACTTTTAATTTTAAACTGTGTATTACAGCATGTTAATCATTAAACATTAAAAAGTTGGTATATTTTATAAAAGCAAGATTACTCAGTTGGACAAAAGAACACAAACTACCACCTTTATCATAAATATTTTAAATATGCAGAAATATTTACAGAAGATATTACTAATAGTATTAATAATAAATGACCTTGGATAACCTGTAAACTCAAAGTATTACCCTGGTCCACTTTCTTTGTAACTGTCATTGTAAACAAAAAAACATTATTTTTACATTGACAAAAACACCACAGCATTCATGATCACGTATTCATTTCCAATCATACAATTTAAGTTTTGAGAATTTCCGATTCATCATGCCTTTCACATGCTCATAAACAATATTAATTTAGGAACATAAACATATTATGTTAACTGTATACGGCTGGTATTGGTAGCTTAAAGAAAAAATACACAGCAGTATTCCACTTTCTCACTAAACATTTTAAGCATCTTGTATGTGGTTATTTTGGATAGGCTTTTACGTGCTCCTTCTGACCATATTAAGTTTATATACTTTGTGAAAAGTGATAGTGTTTTAACCTTTTCTGTGAATTAACTCGTTATCGGAGTAAAAAAAAAGCAGACTTTAAGAATTTGATTAACAGGGAATATAATATGGAATTGCATATATAAAAAAATTAATAATTATATAATTATATTCATGAACTGTCTGGCGGAATAAACTGAAGTTAGTTAATGTGACACGGAAGATAGAATTAATAATGTAGTGCTTTGGGCCCTACCATCTGGGGAATTGAACCTGGGCCTCCAGCATCACTCACGAGGGAAGCAGCCAGTTGAGCTACAGTGAGATCTGCCTTAAACCGTGACAGACTAGGTCCCTCCTATTCATATGGCACGCCCTCATCAAAGTTTAACTCGCTCTGTTTTATTAACAGACACTTCGACTCAAATAGATAGATAGATACTTTATTGATCCCATGAGGGAAATTGCAGTGCAACAACAGCTTTACAGAGACAATTGATTAGCAGGTGATTAGCTCAATCATCTGCTAATTCATTTTACACCATGGGAAGACAAGAGAATGTGATTATAATGTATCTGTACAGAATGTGTGTTGTGTTTACAGAGCTAAAGTGTTTAAAACGTATAATTAAAAAGTTAAAAAAATTAAAGCTTACACAAAGATTCTAAAATGATCACGAGGAAGTGTATTGCATGTCCAATGGTCTAATCCCATTACCCCCATTTTGATTAAAATCTCGAATGTGTGTTTAATTAAATGCCTTTATTGATTCACAATCTGACAATGCAACCAGATGGTGCGTCATTGCGTATCAATCGAAACCCCAAGTTTACCCTGAGTATCAGTAAAAAATAATTAGCTCACTGATATGTTTATGTAGGGGTTGCGAAAATTTTCACAAGTCATGGTCTTTAAAATGCATTTGGTTTGAAGGCTTTCTGTGTTTCCCCTGTGATGATATGGACATAAGAATATTTGTGCGTGGTAAAAAAATGGCATATAAACGACAACGTGAAGTCTGTGAAAACATTCACAATGTATGTTATACGCAAATCAAGTGTTCTCACAACTCTAGGACATTTCGTGAAAACGCTACAGGCATGTCAAAATCGTTTTCAAACTTTAAACTAGCTTTACCCCGGAAACTGGAACCCTGTAAGCACGGGAATAAAGCTTTGTTTGATTTCTGAAACCCTTTCTTTATGTCCTGTTTTTATTCAATTAAAGGGCAACTATATACACAATACTGCTCACAGCAGGAAAATTCCTATTCTTTACTCAGCAGCTTATTAAAAACAGCACCCATGATGTTCAAACCAATAAAAAAACTTTTTCAGTCTGTCTGTGGGGGGAAGGGGGGCTGTCTTTCATTGGAAGGTTCGCCTATTCTACTTTGAAAATGATAAGGGGAAGGAAAAGTGCCCGCGGTCAAAACTATAGTATGCTTAAGAAAAAAAGACCTGCTGATATACATACCATGAAGACAACAGAATATGATTTTTTCTATTCAAAATACATGTTGTCTTTATTAAATTTGTGTATTTTAAATGTTTAATTGAGAAGTAAAAACCTTACAGCATACACAAAGATTCTAAGCTGATCACAAGGAAGAAAAAACACAATTTTATGTGCATAAAAATTGGTTAACTATCCAAACCTGTTTTTAAAGCTAATTTTAAAGACCTCTACTTGTGAAAATGTTCAGAACCTCTACATAAAACTATATACACAATACTGCTGACAGAAGGGAAATTAATCTTCTTTACTCAGCAGGTTATTAAAAACAGCACCCATGATGTTCAAACCGATTTTTTTACACAGAAGACTGACACAGCTTTGCGTTGTGAGTCTCTTTTTCTAATAAAACATTTGTCAGTCTGTCCGTGGGGGAAGGGGGACTGTCTTTTATTGGAAGGCTTGCCTATTTTACTTTGAAAATGAAAAGGGAAAAAAAAGTATTTATTTCATTTCTTTTTGGCACACCCGCCCAGAGAGAGAGAAAGAGAAAGCGAGCAACACACAGGGGAGCAAAGCCAGGGAACTATTTACACGAAAATGGGCA